GTTCAGGGTCTCACTACTAGATTGGACTCTTAGTGATCCGCCTGTTTACAGCTTCCCAAGAGTTGGGATTACAGGTGTGAGCTACCACACCCAGTCTCAATCGCTGTTTCAGCATGCCCCAAGGGCAGGGCAGCACAGCAGGCCCAAGGATCAAACCCCCAGCCCCTGCGCCTGCTTGCAGGCACTTTAATCCACACAGAACTATTTGGCAAGCCCTCTAAATTCTTGATGATTGCCATTCTTTCTGCAGAAAGGCAAGGGACTGCTTCTGGAGGAAAAGGGAGACCCTTCTACAGCATTGCGGGGATAGTAAACTAGTCCAGCCTCTATGGGGATCAGTGTGGAGAGTGCCAAAAAAGCCAAAACTAGAGATCCCACTTGGCGCAACTACCACCCTTCTAGCACCTTCCTGGGAGAGCTGAAGATGTCACACTGTAGGGATCCATGCGTGCCATGTTTACAGCAACACAATTCAAAGTGGCTCAGTCTTGGAAGCGGCCTATATGCTCATCCACGGACATATGGATAACGAAAATGCAGGACTGGCTGACTTCTGCTTGTGTTTGCTGCAGTTTTTGGCTTGGAATTGCTTACAACAAACTGGGAAAGGAAATAGCAGTCTCACAACTTACCATTTAAAGGGTATCTCCTTAGGTACTCTTGCCAAATACCACATCCCCAATAAAATTAAGAAATGCATTTAGGAATGACTTATGATGTCCCACGGCAAAAGTGATGGTACACACCTGTAATCTCAACACTCTAAGAGGCTAAGATTGGAGGATTCAAAGTTCAAGCCCAGCTTAGGCGCGATGTGGTGACTTTAGTGGGACCTTGTCTCAGAATTGAAAAAGGTCTGGAAATGTTATTCAGGACAAAAGTCCTGCATTCAATCCTCAATATCACAAGAGAAAAAAAAAAAAAAGTAGAATGTAAGAGAAGAGATCAGGAAGCTACCTATGAATAATCCAAAGTTTCCTATGAAGAGCTCAAGGCCTTGGAAGCAGAGAGACACAGAAGGAGCACCCACGCATCTGGTTTTAATGCCAGCACTGCCACACACTTGCTGTGTGACATTACAGAAGTCCTCGAGCCTCAGTTGTCTTAACTATAACTGGAGATTTAAAATTTTCCCCTCACGGATTTGTTGTGAAGATTCAGTGAGACAAACATTCACGCTGCCCTGGTAGGTCCTGGCTGTTACACACAGTGTGGGCCTCGAGACAGAACAGACATAAAGCGGGACGTGGTCGTGTAGTTCTGTGACCCTAGCACTCTGGGAGTCTGAGAAGGAGGATCACAAGCTCAAGCCCAGCTTGCGTAATTTGGAGACCTACAAAGACTTTATCTCAAAATGAAAAACAAAGAGGGCTTGGGATGTTGCTCAGTGTGCAGTCCCTGGGCTCAACCCCCAGCTCTGCAAAAAGAAAGAGAGAAAGAAAGGCACTGTGCATCCCTCCAAAGACCCTGTGCTCCTTGCTTCCTGCAGACAGATGACCCCCAAGAGTATCTGCAAACCGTGAGGGGAGGGGAGCTCCTAAACTGTTCAGCCCAGCAATGACCCTTTGGAAAACACTTACACAGAAGTCCATAAGAGCCAAGAAGGCACACTGACAGTGGACAAGGGAAGCCTCCCTTAGATCTTTCTGAGCAAGACAGGCTTTTCAAGCCCACATACTTGTGGTCAAGGGCTGGCTCCATGCCCTCCCGGTGCTTCCCGGACTGATGCTTACTCTGCTGCAGTTTTGGTAGCAAATGTATTTAAAGAACCGCAAGCCACAAGAAATGAGAAAAGACTTGCTTTCCCTGTACCGTCCTTGCTCTGGTTTGGGCCGCCTTCATTCTACAGGATCGGGCTGTGTGCTGTGTGGCACACACACCTCCCCACAGATAGCTCTGTGAAGGACTTTATAGGTACCCCACTCACACCAAACGTTCTTTTGTCCCGGATCTCAACTCTGCTTTTGTTTTGAGCTCAGGGCTTTACTCTGTCTGTGTGTGCTATATGCAAACCTCCAGCCTTCCTTCAGTGCTCTTTGCTGTCCCCTGTATGTGCCCAGGCAGGGAGGGATCATGTTGCTTTGATCCTGTGACAGTGAGGAAGGTCCTTCACAGATGCAAGGGGTGGGGGATATGAGTGATTGTTTGGTGCAGTCG